TAGTGGTGCACTTGCCCCTTGTGGACAGAAATGACTATAATTTATATAGATTGCATTCTATATTAGTACCACAATTATCGATCTCTAAAAGAAGGTCGGCATATATAAAATATAATTACCCTTACTTAGCCTTGAGCTCGGATCAAAAACAGTATATGCAAATGGACCATTAATCTCTATCAGATTGCATTCGAACTCACTACACCTTTGTATGCTCAGTAAAAGGACCCCTTCTAGATGTTAATCTGAATAAGAATTGTGAATTAAGAATGCTAATACAACCATCCAACCATAAGTTGAATCATTGTGATATAGTATTGAAAAGTCAGGAAACGACGCAGTGGAATTATATTTCGATGGACGGGTCGTGGATTTTCTCTGCTCATCAATTGGACACTATACGAATCGCTTGTCCGGACCGAATGAACCAGATGATCCACATACAAGGGCTAGGGATACTCAAAATCGCCCCAGGCTGTATTGGATACACGAGCGACGCGACTCTGTTAACAGAAGCAAAACAGAATGATACAAACATTTATCTATATAAACCAAATTTGAACCTCAACTTAACGACTCTATATCCTACCGTACATCTCTTATTCGATTCAGATATAAAATTAGAAAAATGGGTCCCGCAATCTGGAATGTGGACTAGCCAGGAAAAGGCTTTAAATGACATTTTGGAGAAGGCAGAAACTATAATTCAACACAATAAAATTACTACCTATCAATCCCGACTGATCTACGGAGGACTAAGTATCAATATTATTATGATAATATTACTAATTGCACTTGCGTATAAATGGTGCACTAACTGCACATGAACCTCACATAGCACTAAAACTCACAAATCACCCGACGTTCGTAGACCTAATCGAGACCCTATCGCAAGAACCACATCGATTTTCCAAAATCTAAAAATGACTAAGACTAGGAGGGATTCTAAACGGACGGATGAACCAAGAAAACCCGTTGGTCATACGTAAAGCTAGGGCTCATTGGACCAAAATGAAACAAAATCAATAGCATCATCTACACCGAAACCTAACCCCCAAAAGCGACACGACAATACTCTTGCACTGCAAACCCAAATCGCAGAATTAACTTAATGACTACTAACATACTTATATGACCAACTCACGATCTGTTTCAGAAAAAAAAGAGAAGAAAACACGACATGAGTGAAATAACCAGTAATACGGTACAGGATCCTAAAAGTATAAAAATTCTTTACCCTGACCACCTGCTATTAAATGAACTTCTACGCAGATTGGAACAGATCGGACTAGTTCAGGAGTTTCATGCACTGAAAAAAATGGCCAATAGCAGCGTAAAAATTGTGTTATGTAAATTCGATCAAATCGAACATGCTAGAATAGCTAGGAGGACTAAATCATGGACCCCTGACCCTATAACTAAACATTCATCGCGTATAGAAAGGACCAGAGTCTTTAGGAAATCTTCACCAAGACCAACTGATAACACACTCTTATTCTGCAGACTACCGTGGATTATAGAAGAAAAACAAAGAGAAGTGGCCTTTTTCGAGCATTTCGTAGAATTCGGACCCTTGCTATATCACAAAGTATTGAAAGATTCGAGAGGATCATTGGCCTTGGGATACGTCCAATACTACGATGCAGCTGACGCTAACAGGGCAGTAGAAAGGTGTGATCCAATATATGGCGCAGAATTCGCACAGGTACGGAAACGACATTGGAATCGGGATCATGTAACCAAACACCACTGGTTATGTGATAAACAAATAGAGCTTACGATTTACGAAGACCATGATAGGACTTGCATGTGGCAGCATCAGAAAAGGATAAGGGAGAAAAAGGCTAACGAACGTTATCCAAAATCAGAAGTTAGAAGACCACCGTCACACCTTATAGTCGTAAGCACAACTAAAACCACAATTGACCCTGAACCCAAGGTAAATACACAATCGATCTCTTCAGCCGGTACCAAACAATTGACCACCTTGATTCAGCAGCCCGCGAAAAACGCGAAGTCCATGGACCAAGCTGATACTCCACCTGAAGATGAAATAAGCACAAACATTGACCAAAAGCGAGTATATTTAGAAACTTATGTATAAAATGGGGCAAAAGGGAGAAAGTTAATTACACTAAAACGTTATCTAAAAATAAATATTTTATAGCTTAAAGGGAATTCTTTCAAACTAAGTGTGATCATCTTTGTCACTTTTGTTAATCTTAGTTATATACACGCGCCGACGATTAGATAATACCTTGAATAACCGCATGATTGTAGATACTACCCGTGAAATAATTGTAATACCCCGTCTAACGCTTCTCGTAGTACATTTCGCTTCCGATTTATCTATATTTTATCATTCATCTTTCTAAAGGACCATACTTAAAATTTACAGAAGATCTTTAACATGGACCCACGGCTCATATATGACGTTGAGCCGATGCTTAATGAGAACTATGGGCTTACAATGGTATACATGGACCCAAACAGGAAAGCGGAAGCAATGTGGCTCGCTTGCCAATATGGACCTCTAGAGAAGATGATCGACGTGGTGATTCCCGAGAAATTCAGGGAAAGCCTAGGATGCACGGTCTTCTACTTTGTGAACCCCATTCATGCCGTGGAGGCAATCGAGCAGTTATTCAACGATCGAAAACCGTTTTCCAAGGAAGTTCTAGGACTGGAAGAGGAATTGCCGACTTATTATTAGCTTGAGAAGGCAATATTTGACGACTACGACCTCTCGAAAACCGCCAATGTACCAGACTCATCTGATGACGAGGATGGGCAAAACACCGGCCTGAGTAGTGCCGCTCTGGTCCCCCAAACAAAAAACCTTGGTCCTAAACACGATCGCTTAAATAGGATTAACTTCTTACTACCCTATAATTGGACCGAAGTAATGGCAAATAAGGCCTTACTAAAATTTGGCCCTATGGACTACATAAATTACGTACCAATGCGGAATGGGAAAGGTTCAATGGGATTCGCCGCATTTATTTATACCTCCGACGCAGAAAGGGTGGTCGCGAATAAGCTTGGCCAGTATTTAAAAGCCAGACTTATTCGCCCGAGGATCGTAAGGTACGGCGAAAACGCGTTGGACCTCTACGAAAAACATGATCTCTGCGGCCACTGGATCACCTCTAATGAACGTAGCAAGCACGTGTTACTCTGCGATATGCAGATCGGTGGTAATTTAAGAAAGCATTACTTCTGCGGCAGGTCCATAGAATTAAGAGAATGGGACTAGCACCTGGAGGTCTGTAGTATTAGGAATTTTGATTATGTTAGTAAAGTAAAACCAGAACAAACATTAATCGACCTCGCTGGACCTACAGAATCAGCGGCAAGGACCAACAACACGGCGCAGGCCATCACGGATGATTTAGCGCGGATAGCAATCTAGGACCGGGTTATTCCCTTATTAAATATATGTACACACCCCCTTCTTTATACGCTATCATTAATTATAATAATGGACTAGGAATAAAGGACCTATATATTTACTAATTTAGTCACTAATTTATTCCTTACCGACCCATTGCAGACCCTGTGGCTCTTGATACATGGCCGAGGACGGCAACGATTCTAAGGGGGGAGGGATGTTACGTGACACTTCATTGTGTTATAATTGTATTTTGTTGAATAATATTTCGGACCCGAGATTTCCGTTCGGACATAGTACAGCTAGCAGTATTCGTGTGCGCGACTCGGTAGGAATGTGCGGCAGAGGCTGATTCACGCTGCGGCAGCATGCTGCGACAGCCTGCTTTGGTCAGCGTGCTTAGCTAGGTAAGACGAGCCGATACGAGAAGCGTAAACGTCTAAAGCGTATGTGCGAGAAAGAGACGGAATTCGATGAAAAAAGATATATAATGAACCGGCGAAAACAACGACCGTAGACAAGGAGATTAGTCAGTTAGGAGTGAGCGCTCGACTAAGAAGGCCGCATATTTTCCTACTGGAGTTAAATCCGTAATAAGAGTTTGAGAATATAATTGTTTGAGTTGCGATTAAGTATTAGAAGTGTCGAGTACAATTGTTTTAATAATTTTGTGTAAACGAAAATCATAGGAATTATCATTTTCTTGCGTGTTGCTACACTATTGGATAAAGAATATATTGGACAACGAAAATCATAGGAATTATCATTTTCTTGCGTGTTGCTAAAGTATTGTATAAAAAAATATATTGGACCAGTTGATCTTATCAGATTCAAAGAAAAAGTGATTGGCCACATCACGAAGCGAATAATATTTTGGACCAATTTATATTTACAATATTAATACAAAGTGAGTAATACTTTTTATGTAACCAAAAAAATAATAGACATCGAGGGGTGAAAATTACGCGTCTGAGAATTTATATATATATATCTCTCTATTCTGCTTAACTTATTTATGTTGTGAAAGAGACTAGAATAAATATTATAATTATAAACGCCTGTACGTGTATCCATATGCTTCCCCACTATATTAAAGAAAATCGCTATTACACTTTTCCTTTTAATAAATAAGCGAAAAACGTTATAAACGTTCAATTATTTGTTTTACAAAAACGATATCGAGTGTCGAATTATAATTAACAGGGATTTCATTATTGACGCGCGAACGGGCCGGGGTGCCCGAAAGCCTGACTGCCGCCCGAGTCTAAGGCCGCTCGGCTGTTAAAAAGGCCTTCGTATGGGACAAACTCGCCTCGCGCGAGTTGTCACCTATCAAAATGAAACCGATTTAAATTAAAAAATTGCTCTAAAATTTTGGATTCAAATTTCAACAAAATATTGATCTTGTACGGTATTGTCTAATTTCCAAATTCAAAATTATATAGAACAAAATTCAGAACTATACAGAATAAACCACTTACTATTCACGAACAATAAGAATTAAATTTTTTTAAGCCTATGAGGTCACTGTACATAAAACTTTCTTTTTTTACCTATCTTAAATGCTAAATACAAAGAAAAATATATTATAAAGTTTCTGATTTTGCAGGTGCCATCATCGCAGCTCTAGGTCCAATTGCAGCGCCAGCTTTAAGATCGATCGCTTCAAAAATTGTTCCTGTAGAAGAGCGAGGTAATATTTTTTTAAGTATAACGTTAATAATACTCACAGATAACATGAATAATTAATAAAGAATTTCGCTAAAAAATGCTTTAAATAACAAATATCTTATGATGTTTGGTTTTCTTATTATATAGGCGATTTTATTTATATAAAAATAATTTATTTCTGTAATTTAAAACAAGAGTAGCATATCACATAAAAAAAGTTATCAGTCAATATCTTTTATTATAAATCTATCGGCATATCCCCAATACGTTGAGTGCTTTATTTATTAGTCGTTTAGAAGTTGCTTCATAGGTACGTATACGCGCTTCTCCCAATCGTCGTTATTTTTTTACAGCTTGTTTTTTCGATATTTTGTTTCTCTCTGTCTCTCTCTCTCTCTCTCATACATACAGATATACAAAGCACTCACACATATATCACCATCTAGCTCAATCCCGCATATATCCCAAAAATTGTGACTAATGAGTCTGCTTATTATACAAGGTAGATTCCTTCTATATAGGTTATTAAGATAGGACCCTATAAAAGCTGGTAGAGCGCTCGGTCAACTATATGCTGACTCGGCGTGGGCCTTCGGAGAGGGGGTAGCGTCTCTAGCTTGAGGTGCGCTTGCTAAGTTATGTGCTGGCTAAGCGAGTCTCCAATAATGTGGATGCTTCTCTCTCTCTCTCTCCCCCCCATCTCACTTAAGAAATCTAAATATATTTCAATTATAGCTGGTAAAGGGGATATTATAACTATAATAAAAGATAGTCATTTTTTAATTCAACTTCCATTTATTAATATAATTTAATACAAATGTAATTGATATTACATTATAAATATTGTTTTTAAATGATTTTTTCATTAGTAATATACTAAACTAATATACAAAAGAATATACAAAACTAATTTTCTCATATTACCGCTGATTGGATTGTACTCCACGATTCGCTCATATAGAATTAAACAGCAGGCAGCAGTATTATCAGGAAAATTATACTCTTGTGTCAAATTCAAGGCGTACATCTACAGGTGCAGTTTTCATTGATTCATTTTGTTTTGAACAATCAATGACTATTAGAGAAATGTTATTGATAAAATAATTCTTGTTGAATAATGGCTCATTTTCATTCCTATAGTAAGCGTTTTGGAAATTACCATACATGTTATAAAGTACTGCGTACTGATTTTTTTATGTATATAGATTTAGATTTCCATATGGATAGCATTGAGAATTGAGAAATAGTTTTATATTGCTGATATTACAGTGATCAGATTTACTATCATCAGCAGTCACTGAACTTTTTCGTTTAGTTTGAAAGGCTAAGATGACAAAGCGAGACTTTTCCAATGGATTTGACGTTTTCATACTCCAAACATGCTTTGATGTGAAATGTAATTTTGGATACTTGAACATCTCCCAAGTGTGATAATTCACAGTTATTGCTTTACTGCATTCAATATAATTGAGTAGTTTGATTTTTTTTCCTATCAGCCACTATTACATAAAGCATCAGCCTTTTTACTTTAATCAAATGAAGTTTAAATCTTTCAAGAGTAGATGTAGCGCCTGCTGTTCAGGTAACTTTAACAGTATTCATATCATTTCCAGATCTTTTAAGAATAACCTCATGCTTGATGTTTACAACAATTCTCCGATAGTCTTTAGCTAATTCCAATAACATACTAAAGGCAATAGCAATGTCAAAATCACCATGATCATTTGTAATTGTAACCATATTACTGCCAAACCATCCTGCATTTTCAGTAATTGAATTCTGACTGGGAATGAGTGAAAGCTAATTCTTCATAAGAGTTGTCAAACCAACATTTTTTGTTTTATCTATCTCAATTGCATTTATTTCATAACGTATTTCTTCAAATAAATAATAAAGAGCATTATTGATGAACTCGGTTGTAACGGTCCTATCTGTGAACTCCTAGACTATGTAACACGTACGTTAATAATTTTCAAGTTTTGCGTGGAAAATAAGCCCAAACAACGTCGCGTCACAAATTATTTTCAAGGGTAAGGCTCGGAAGGCGTATTCGCTTCGTCGCGGAAAATTAATGAGGGCTTCAATCATCCGGCAGTATCAATAATCGCGGTTTATCTAATTACAAAAGAGACAGGTTATATAAAGAAATTCATCTTTTTAAATAGTCCTTTACATTTTATTCCAAACCTTATTCTACACGTACGGCATTCGACTTGTGCGTCGGCCAAGTCCGAACGAGTCTGTTCCGTGTGAATTAACGCACAGGAGACAGAACATCGCCTTACAACTTTCCCGCGAGTTCCCGCGAGTGCGGTGCGAATTCACGCACGCAGCCACTCATCCGCGTCCGGCCGATATGATGCTCAGAGAGAGAGAGAGAGAGAGAGAGAGAGAGAGAGAGAGAGAGAAATCGAGGCGCGCACCAAGAAATGAACAAGGGTACCTGACCTTAGGAGAGAGCGCCGTAGTGGAAGTCCACGTCCGCTTGTGCAGCAGTTTTTGAGCAAACACAATATCGCATTGCTTTGACAACCTCCATACAGTCCCGACATAGCCCCTTGTGACTTTTGGCTGTTTCCAAAACTAAAAAAACCACTCAAAGGACACCGATTCGATGACAAAACAACGGTTGAAAACAATGCGACGTGTGTACTTAAGGCTATCCCTAAAAGTGAGTTCCACGACTGTTTTGAAAAGTGGAAACATCGATGGAACCGTGTTATTCAATCAAGTGGGAATTACTTTGAAGGATGCCACCCACCAGATGATAAAGAATAACGCTAGCACGGAAATATAAAGGTAGGCCCGATACTTTCCGGACAGACCTCATATATTCTACAAGAAATGAAATATCAAAATTCATCGTATAGCAAACACAAAGTTTTCTATTTCAATGAATCGTTTTGAAATACTATTGAGTATGATTGCATCTATCCGGGAGAAGCCCGACAGCGCCGCAATAAACACTCAATTTAATTTCTTAGCAGTTAATGAATTTGAAGAGAGAAGATATCTAAGGCTACTTCTTTCTCAGAAGAGAGATAGTCTTATGAGTTGGGCGCTTAGGTATCGCAAGGAAAGGAATTAGCAGGCTAACCACTGAATAAAGAAATTAGTCTCAGAAAATTGCTGAGTCTTTATTTCAAATCAATGCTCGCGCTGCTAACCAAGGTAGGATAGTGAATCCTCTTGCCGCAGCGACGAGCGAATTGATACTTGCGAAATCGGCTCCTTTCTACGCTTGGTAGCCCCTACAACGCTATTTTTAAAATTGATACAAACTTTGCACATGTTTTGTCGCAAAATGGCTTGATCGAAATTGCCATTTTATGATTTAAAAAATTAAGTATGAAATAACGAATTTTTTAATATAAATCTTTTCTCGAGGAAAAATCGCCTTTTAGAGTTATAAGTAATACAATTTGATAATCAAATAACACTAATTTTACAATAAATTTACGGAAAATTTTTACATCAAAAAATTGCTTGTGATTAGTGGAACATTATTTAAATTAAAAACGATTAATATAACTATCCAATTTTGAATAATAATTTAAAAATAAATTTGCAAATTTCTTTTTTAGCCATTTAGAAATCAGCAAATGAGTGACAATCATTTTTATTAATTTTACAGATATATACAATCCAATCGCTATCTAACAACGCAATTTTAATTGTTTAAATAAATTATAAATTATTTATTTATTGATAACTCAGTAAAAAATTAATTACCAAAGTGTCAAATTCTTGCTTCTCTGTTTCAATACGTTACGAATGCAATTGCATATTCGAATTAACAATATAATTATTTGTTTTGGAAAATAACTAATATTATTAACTTGTAAATTAAATTAAACTAATAAATACATATTTGATAACTACAACAACACGAAATTCAAGATCAGCGCATCAAAATTGATTAAAAAAATGCTTTTGTTCATTTGAAATCTTTGCAATTGTCAATTTTGCATTGTAAACAATAAATTTCCCACGGTCGTGACGTCACGCTCTTTATATGGTCTTGTTTTCGCTGAATTGCCCTAACACATTTACATATATGTGAGAAGAGCGCCTTTTCTCAATTACCGCTTTTCTTTTGTTTTCTCGTGCACGACGGGTTGCTATTTTGCAGAGGGAAAAAGGGACAAATCAGACTGGACCATTACAAAAAAATACAAATGTAATATAGATCATTTAAGCATAATTTTCATTTATCACAAAAATCGTAGTTAAGAGTTATTAACTAACAAAGTTAGTTAATAACAAAATTAGTTAATCCAATAGCGCAAATTTTACAATAAAATATTTGAAATTTTTTACATAGAAAAATAACTTGTCGCTTATAGACATCATTACTAATAAGAAATACTTAAATTATTTAATAATACTTGAATAATAATTAATTTATGTTTTTGGCGAAATCTTATAATGTAAAATAAAATCGGCTAATAAAAAATTATCAATTCTAACAATTATGTCAGCAAGTGCAAAATCAACGCTTTTGATTTATATACTTTTATTTGTTTATATAAATTATTGATTTTTTTATTTATTTATAACAATAGTAACTAAGTTGCTATCAATAAAACGAATTCTTACTCATGTTCCTAAGATTGTCATCTCGAGCTCAGAGTATCCGCTTTATTAAAATAATTAAGATTTGCAAAGTGATAAATAAATGAAGTTTGTACATTAAAATTCAATAATGTTCTAGGATTTAAAATATTTGAAAACATGACAATATTAATCTATGTCCTAAAATTTACGTGAAAAATACTTTGGTTCATTGAAATTACTATTAATAACGCATTTTCATTGAATAATAAAAATTGGCATATATATATCTATAAGTATACTGACGTCACGCTCCTTATCTAATCATAAAATTTGACTCTTGCTCTAAAACAATCATACAATACACGAGATGGCACCGTTTAATATACTAATTGATAGGTGTAGGTTTGTGAGTTTAGCGGATTGCCGTAATACAGCGAAAATGAGAAAATAGTCTAAGAGCTTATA